CTTAAAAGCTGACCCCCTTAACAGCAGAAACGAGCCCGAGCATGTGCCAGGAGTTTAATCCGAGTTAGGGTAGGAGTTAAAACGTGAAACGCAACCGCTGGGGGGGCTCTAACCTCAAGACTGCAGAGGACGAAGCTTCTCCATCTTGGCACGTGCTTCGAATGTGCGAAATTAGGGATCAAGATAGAGGCGATTTCTTGGAGTCACTAACTTCGAATTCTCGACGTCGATGATTGACGCCACAGAGATGAAGCGCGGATAGCGTGCGTTAATGTAGGAGAAAACGCTGAGCAGGATGCTCGAAAGGTCAGTGTTTGTCTCATTGCGAAAAGCTGCGCCAATTGGTCTTCCGAACTTGTACGCGTCACCTTTGCTGACGTCTCCGTCGAACATCAGGAAAGCAGGGCCCAGACCTCTGCGCAATGACCCAAGACGCAGGCCAACCGCCACTCTTTTCCTCATCTTTAGACTTCTTTCTCAACTTGTTCGCACGCCTAGAGACATTGCCTCACAAGGAGTATCACCATGATGCAGAGTTGCAAAGTCTTACAATGAACGTGACCAATTTGCGCCGCTTGCTTTTGAGAACTTTGGGCGAACAGCGAGCACTCGAGTGAGGAAATGGGAGAAATGAGAGAACGCGAAAGAGAGATAAGAGAAAAAGAAAGAGAAAAAGAGTGAGAATGTGAGTGAGAATGTGAATGAGAATGAGACTCGCCACTAGTAATAGTGACGCCGCGTGTAGGATGCGCGGCCCCCACGAGAATAGTGAATACCGATGCGCGTTCCTTCTACAAAGCGACCCACTCAAACTGGCTTAGCCAGACATCTACGATGTCTTCGCAAATCCATAACGTTATGCAAATTCGCCTCCCAAGGTTGAGGGAAGGGGAACCGGGAGCCGCGATCATCAACGAAAACATGACAGAGAGATTCGGCATTCGGTGTCTCTCGTCTGTGATGCGAGTCCGACGCTCCTGTTCGTTCTCGCCCAGTCCCGCTCTGCCCCCCCCTTTCTCAGAACTCATCTCCCCTGTATCCTGCATGCCTTTCCATCCCGTTACCTCGTCTCGTCTTTCCTTGTCAGCCTCGAGTAACCTCCAAAAAACAACCCACCGACCCGCGCACGGGGGGCGGCCGTCATGCGTTATATATAAATATATTTCTTTTGGTTTAGCTTGGGATGCTGGATCTGAGAGAAGATCCAGGGAGAACGAGAGGGCGTCTGAGAATGCGCTTGTGCGCATTTCTCGCGGTCGTGTTGCGCGATGTCAAGGCAATAACATAGAGATGAATCAGTCAGGCCCTCGCTCAACGTCTCTCGATCTGGAGACGGGTTCTCGTTCTTGCATCGCACTCGCCCCACCACCCTTGCGCTGCGCAACTAATGTCTGCACTCTTGCGAGTGTGCCACTAGCGCCTACCGAGTCCTTGCGCTGTGCCAACGCGTTCTGCGTTCCTGAGTCGAGCCCGTCTGTGCGCTCGCAGCTGTGGACGTATCTTGCGAGCGTCTTTCTGCAATAAGAAATCTGACATACTTTTTGTGAGCTTTTCGGCAACTACTTGGACACAACTCTGAACGAGTTACGAAATCACGGATCATGTTGGGCATCCGAGATGAAGATGTGCAAATTACTCACGACATGACTTGCCAGCTAGACGCTCGAGCTCACTTAACGCAAAACTCAGATAAATTTGAGAAGCATATCTTCCCGGATGGAGTTGATCCAAGTACAAACCCCGATTACCCGATTCCTGTAGTGTCTTCACTATTTCGTAATACGGGAACACGAGGAATCTTCCCTGAAGAAACCCTTCACTTGCGTGGTTCCATAGGCACTCGTTCATGCTCTGTATCACCGATGAATGCATTCCATGATACCCCGGACCATTGACGGGCACCCCGGTGCGAAACAAAATGCTGCTTTCCGGAAAAGCGATTCTGGTCCAATTCAAAAGTTGCGGCACTTCGACAGAGCACCAGGTCTTTATGCGGTCCGCTGGACCTCCAATCTTTTGTGTTGCGATGCTTTTTCTTGGATCTGCGACCCACCATCTGACGACATCCCACAAGGAACTGTCAACGATAATCATGTCAGGATGCTTCCGCATCACTTCGTAAATCTGCTTGCTTGCAAAGTTTAGTAGTAACGGAGTATCTTCCACATAGGGTTTGTAGTATGGTTGACAAGGTGCAGAACCTGGAATGTGAACGTGCATTGTCGTGAAATTTCCAGGGGCTTTACACACTTGCACGTTTGGCGCTCCCCGCACGTCTTCTTTCCCGGGTTGAAAATAATACTCCGGCTCTCTCTTCACATCGCGGCAAAAAGAGTCTTGCACCATGCGATCAACTGAACATCCCAAAAGAAGCAGAACTTTTCCGGACAAACGATTGGCGATCCTGCTGATGTTCGGCGATTTCCCGTTAGGGTTGCCGCTGAGGTACTGCATATCCCCAACATACCAGCGCCTGTAATGCTCTTTTAAAAGATTTTTCCACTGACTGTGATTTCTTTTGGGGCGAACCGATGCCTGGTATTCTCGTCCCTGTAAACTCCACACTCTTGGCTGCCCTTCGTTAATACAAGCTACGCCACCCGTCAGTGCAGACGTTTTATCAACCAACTGCAAATGCTGATGTGGAAGCCCGGGGACAATGGCTCTGCTGCACTGCCAGAGCGGCTTCTTGAACTGTCTACCATCGGTGGTGACACTTGAACTGGGACCCTTCCACGCTTTGGGAGCCTTCCGTCCTGAATGAGATACCTGGATAGATGAAGGAAGCGCGTCGACGTCCCTCGATGCTGGCGATACAGACGAAACGGACTCCGACTCTGTGACTGTGCCACGTGCCCAAACATCAGATGTTGATATCAAAACAACTCTACTGTCAAGCTGCGTGCTGATGAAAAAACTGCCGCCCTGCGGTGTGATCGAAACTCGCGGTCGCGACACGAAAATGACGACGAAAAAAACACAAAGTAGGACCAGACGAAGCCCGAACATGTCGGAACACATGCGGGCGGCGATCGACATCAATGGCATTCACTTTTCCACACCGTCAGCCGCGTGCGGCTCCGCTCACCCCTTCCCTTGCAAGTTCTGCGCAACCAATAAATATGGATGGCCGCCATCAGAATATCTATGCTTGCACCACGGCAACAGGCTTCGTTTTTTTTTTTCACAGAATCAATGAATAGAACAAGGAGGGAGAACAATGCAAAGGAGAAAAGTAGAAGGATAGATAGCGAAAGGGAGACAAAAAACGCCGGCCCTGGAGTAGACACCAGAGGAGACGAGGCCCGAAGGAAAGAACCCGGCGGAACACAGCCTGGCGAGCGAGCAACACAAAGGAGAAGGCTTCCCCCCAATAGGACAATGGGAAAAGAATAACAAATGAGCCACTCAGTCCCAGACGCAAAATGAGTAGAAAACTGAAAAGCCTCCCCCGGACCCGGCTGGCATTAATTTCATTTGGTATCTTCGAGCTACGCCACACGCCGTAGAATCCAACGGGGGCGCGTTTATGCAGAAAAATGGGGGGGGGGGTCAGATTGCGCCTACAGGGAGAATTCCTGACCTCGAAACTCACCCATTATGGGGGTGCAGGACGAGAATCCACACCCGAGCTTCAACACTAACCCCAAGCGATGTGATCCGAAACGGACCCCCCAGAGATTCGGGGGCTTGGGGACTCTTCCAATGTCCACCCACACCCGGGCCGTGTGCAGGGAATCACTTCGGCGCGCCGTTGCAAGTTGGTAGCTTCAAAAGTAAGAGGACGGGAAAGAGAACACACGCACGCTCTGCGTGCCGGTGTTATTTTCTGCCATTCAACCACTGGGGTACTACCATCGAAACAAAGAAACCACCAAAAAAGAACAGAAACAAAGACAAAGCCCCAAAATGACGCAAAGAGCCCGGAAATGTCCACAAGTACTCACTAACATCGAAAACACACGGAAAAAACCTGCCAAAAATGCCTGATAATGCTCCGAAATGTCCGAACACACCCAGAAAAGTCGAAAAATATGCAAGAATATCCAAAAATGTCCGGAAATGTCTAAAAATGTTCAAACACGACCTGGCGCCTTCGCCTTTCCAGTTGTACTAGACAACTTCATCTCCTTTTCTTCAACAACTGCAGCTTTTTCTGCATCTCCAGTTGTACTAGATAAATAAGATGACGACTCTTTAGTATTTTCTCCAGCTCCAGTTCTTCTTTTTTTTGAAGAACGATCCCTGAGCTCCTCTTTGCCTCCACCAGCAAGCTCCGCTGCCATCTTGTCTGATGACGCTGATGTGTACTCCTGTTGCTGAGAGGCCGAGGTGGTGGAGTCCATTTTTTCACTACTTCTTGAAATAATCAAAACTTGATTGTTGATTAAAATCTGAAACAGTAACTTGTTTTGTTTCTCTTCTTAACAGTAACTGGTTTTGCATCTTGACCTCGCGCGAGGCCATTTTTGATGAAAAAGGCCCCCAGATATGGGGAGTTTTTTTGGTTAAAATGGCCTCGCGCGAGGTCAAGATGCGAAACGAGTAGGGGTGTGCTGATTTTCGTCAACCATTTCAAGAAGAACTCGACACGAGGGCCGACAAGCTTCGGGGGGAATGGCTAAAAACCCAGAAAACCCGACACCCCCCACCTTCCAAAGCTGGGCGCTCCTGGGTTCCTTTTCAGACCGAGGAGAGCAGCAACCGCGCGCCCCTTGTGGGTCTCACTTAAGTCCCTCGGGCTGTTTGCAATTTTTGCAGTTTTTCGGCGTTTCGCTTAAGTAGGAGAAACCGAGCCGGTCGATCTACCGAAATAAAAAACCCCTCAAAAGCCACTAGCTTTGGAGCCCAGCCCGGACCTTTCTTCGGAAATTCTCAAAATCGCGAGGGGCCTCAGAGGCCAGTGGCTTTTGCGACATGGCTGAACTTTCAGAAGTCGCGGATCTCTGAAAATATTCAACCGGCTGAAAAGCCAGTGGCTTCGGAGACCTTTCCCCGGTTGATCTACCGAGAAACCCCTCAAAAGCCACAGGCTTTTGAGACCCCTCGGGATTTTCAGCATTTCTAATGAAAGGCCCAGGCTGGACTCAAAAGCCCGTGGACTTTGAGCCCTTTCCCCGGTCATCCAACCGAAAAAAAGCTGAAAGGCCACGGGTCTTTGAGGCCACGCGAGGCCTTCAGAAACCCCGAGGCCGTCCGCCACGCTTCGAAGCAAGCTGGCCGCGGCTTTTGCGGCAGGGGTAGGGCCCTCTCTCAGTGCTATAATTTAACCATCGAGGGGAACCCTAGGAGACGCCAGCCGCATCGGAAGCCCGGCTACACCTTCGGGCTTCGAGCTGAAAAACCAAAGAACACCCCCAAAATCAGCTGCGCCCGAGAGCTTTTCATGCTGCTGGTTCGTTTACAAAGCAGCGCGGAAGGGCGGGGCCAGTAAATAAGCAGCCCGAAAAAGTGGCGACTGCGTTTAGAGTCTGAAAAGCAGCCAAAATCTGCCCGGTCGCGCGACTGGGATTCTTCCGCTCAAGATGGAAAAGGGGGACCGAGAAGAATGGAAAAAAGCCAGAAGAGAGACTTTCGCGCCTGGCGGCATTTGCTTGAGGAACGAAATGGGCGGCGGTAAGTTTTCCCAAAATTTTCCACAACCCAGCAACAGCCTCACCTGCCAGGTAATCCCCTGAGCGATTTTCGCACTTTTTGCGGCCACAAGTTGCTTTCTCCGCGAAGGGTCTCCCAGTCGGCAGAGGAGCGCACCCCCTCCCTCAGCTGCTCTGAATTTCGATAACTGCCCGAGCGAAGTCACCGACTTCGGCACAAGAGACGCAGAGGCCTCACGGTGAGACAAATGGAATCCCGAAAGAGCATGGCCACCATGGAGGAGACAGCCAAAACATACAAACGGAAACTAAGCACAAACGGACGCAAACAGATGAACGCTGCCCCATCGTGTACCCTGTGCCCCCACGTACACGGAGCGGCAAGAATACAAAGAAAAAGGACACGACCCCCGAGGGCTCGCCCGAACTCGAAGAGTTAGCTATGGCCGCTGATGGCGTGGCCTATGTATGCCCACACCTCACAACCAAGAGCCCCACCACGGCCAGACAACTGGCATGGGCACACAAGTCCAAACGAACGAGACCCCTGACCAAAACCAAAAGGGCGGGCAGAAGGCGGGCGGACCGCGCAAATTCAACTGGCGTGGGCTGCTGGGTTGGACTACCCTCGCCGACACTCACACACGCCAAAAATAGACAGGCAGGCATGCAAATCAAGAGAGAGGCGCCACACCTTCCCGGGGGCCCGGGGCCTCGCGTAGTTACAACCTTTGAGAAATTCCGCAAAAATTTGAAGACCCAAGACGACCCACGCGCAGCACCATGCACAAACAACCACACCACCCCGGGCGACTATCACACACAGAGGCACTCAGAGCCGGAGACACTACCCAACAAAAACAGCCGAAAGAAAACGAAACGAACACCCAGGCGCACAGGCCTGCGGGTCAGCCTGTCGAAACTTTCGACAAGGATGGACAGAAACCACACACCGATAGCAAAGGGGGCCGCGGCTCTCATGGTTGGCGCGTAAGCCTGGCGCGTCAGCCTGTCGAAATTTTCGACAGGAGCGGAACGAAGCCGTCGATGGATCGAGGGAAGGCGAAGCGGCTGCACCTATGTATTGTGAGCAGGATGCACACAGTCAGGCACACACCATCGGGCCGAAACCAAGCCAACCCAACAGGAGGACGGACGGATGGAACCACCAAAAGCGACACACCTAACCGCACAGGTTTGCGGGTCAACCTGTCGAAATTTTCGACAGGAGCCAGCAGGAACCACCGAAAATAAAGGGACCACGGCTCCCACAGTTGACGCCTGGGACGCGTGTCCTAACCTGTCGAAGCTTTCGCCTCGGTCTGGAGCCGTCGAAAATGAAATGAAACGGCCAGACCCACTGCGAACACGTAGAAGACACACAGACACACACCCCCGGGCCTGAACTTAGCAAGCAAAAGCCACCGAAACACCCAGGCGCACAGGCCTGCGGGCCTGTCGAAATTTTCGACAGGAGCAGAAACCACCAAAAACAAGGGGGGTCGCGGCTCTCGTAGTTGATGCCTGGGCCTGATGTGTCACAGAACGAAGACGACACGAGGCCACAACAAGCTGGGGGCACTGACCTAGACGGCCAAACCCCCGCCAGGGGCTCTCCACTGTAACCACAAGGACCCCGCCACAAGGCATGGCCCCGCCGGTGCGTCGGTCTGTGCCCGCACGCAGTTGCCACAACACCGTGGCAAGATTTGCCAAGGCTTGCCCCGCTTTCTTTGCCAAAAGGTGCCAAGGCTTGCCAAGGTTTCCCAACATTTGCCACATCTTGGCAAACTGTGGCGAACCTTGTCAAGGCATGACACGTCTCCGACACACGGCCGGGAGACACCCCTGGGCACACCACGGCGCAGGCGACACCAACTAAGTGCTGGCAAGACAGAGGACACCCCGGCCAGGGTCAACGAGACCGAGAGAACCGACAGACGCACGAGGCTGGCCAAACGACGGACACACCCTAGGACACGACGGACACACAGGGGGGCGGCTTCTCATGGAGGAACGGAGACGCGCAGGCATTGCCCAGGATTCCCCGGAGATCGATGGCGCAGAGCTTCGAGGGGCATGCAGGAAAGACCGACACAGGGCCACACAAGGCAAAAACCGATCACCCAGAAAGACAGGCGCCGGCCGAGCTGCCCGGTAGACACCTTGGCCGGGATAATCGTCCCAGGGTCACCCCATCCAGGAAAGCGGACCACACTGGGGCGTTAATCTGTCGAAAATTTCGACAGGAGCAGGAGCCAGCCGGCGGAAATGAAACGGCGGTGGCCATTGTAGAGGGCCAGGCTCGTCCTTCGTTCCTGTCGAAAGTGAATAATTCTGCAAAACGGCCACTGCGCGACCAGTCTTGTCGACGTCGAACTGCCTGGGAGGCGACCACGGTTCACACACCTCCCTCGCTGCTCGCTGGCTCGTCGGGGGGGGTGTTTGTACAACGGATGACCAATATTATTTCCCCAGACCGAAAACTGTCCTGCCACAGCTCTAGCACATGCACCAGGGCGCACTCATATGAAAAACCCCCACCCACCCGGAACCGGGGGCCCCCGAGTAGTAATCTCCTGGCCGATTGAATTTCCCCCCGACTGACACCTCTAGCTAGGGCGGGCGCACTTCATGCCGCACCCCTCTCGGAGGGAGATGCATCCCGCGGGGGTTTTTCTCATACATGTGGGCACCCGGAGGCATTCGCGGCACCTCTTGCGTGAAAAATTAACCGACAACCCCCAAGCCCGAACTTTTCAGACTAGACCCCCCGAAACCCCTGAGAACTTTGCGGCCCTCCTGGCCGGGGCGTTGTGTTGAGCTCCGGGGGTTGTGTTGAGCTCCGGGGCGTTGAGAGGAGAGAGAGGAGAGGAGAGGAGAGGAGAGGAGAAGAGAGGAGAAGAGAGGAGAGAGAGGAGAGACACCCAACCGGAGGGCCACCCTGCCAGTCGAGTCCCCTGCAGGATTCGAACCCAAGACCCACCGGGGCGAAGCGCATGCCCTGCCGTGCCTTTTGGGCCAAACTGGCAGGCTCTTAGCAAACTACCCAAAGAGGCGGCGCCCCACCTCTTAGCCCCATGCCTGGCCCCCACTACTCGCCCAAAAGTCAACCACTAGCCACCTACCAAACACCAAGCCATGTCGACTAGTCGCCTAGCGAACAGAACGCGGCGACCTACTTGTCACCCACCAAGCGGGCCAATTCTTTTACCAAAAGGGCGCACCCCCGCACGCTCGTGCGTGTCGCCTCGACGGGGCTGCTCGCCGACTAGTCGCCCACTAGTCCCCTACTTGCCCACTAGCCACCTACGAATGGACCACGAGCCAGCTACTTATCACCTACTAGTCGGCCACTAGTCAACTACATGCCCAGTAGTGGGCTGCTAGTTGCCTAGTCGTCGCCTAGTAATCAAAAAACTGAAAAGCCACCAAACTGCGGACGTTTTACATATAATCAAAAGGAGGAGGCAAGCCCATCACTCAGGGTAGCTTAATCAAGGCTGACCCACAAAGCAAGCACGCCACACACCTGCACAAAAAGCCGGACGGAGGGCACTGAGCTGCGACCCATTCGCCCCCCCTTGCCTATGTTCGTGCTTGGCGTCGTCAGAATCTGCTCTCGCCCCCCACCCATCGACCACAAGACGACACGCACTCAAGCGAAGCAAAGAGCTGGAAGGCGCGGGTAGATCAGCCAGCAGTACCCAAGGGCGAACGTGCGGCGGCTGCAATCGAGTAGAGCACAGGCGCACACTCCTGCCAACCTCACTTGGCCACGGGGCTTGAATCAACTCGGACGCCACACACCCCGAAGGCGTGCGCGTGCCGACGGAGTGCAC